GATAGTGCCGCAAGACATCAGAAGCCAAAAATCTTAGATTCTCTGCTTGAAGGAGAGGTACTAGGGACTTTAGGTGAGAAATAAGCTTTTGGGTTAAACCAGCCAACTTTTGGGGTTGTAATATTAGCTAGCATTAATTAAAACACACAATTTTCTTATGTATCCTGAAATGTTTCACATTAATATACACAAGCAATTGCCAATCCTCTATTGACATGTAGATTGTTTCCAGTTTTTCCCTATTACAATGATGCTATGATAAACAACCTGATGAGGTAGGTTTTTAGACATATTAAACCCTTAAGAGTAATGTTTGAAATGGAGCAGGTCCCTAGAAACCTGCTCCACCTCAGTGAGGTATTTCCCATCTTCTGGTTAATTTGGCTTGAACTCATCAAGTTGGCAGCATCGTGCCAGTCTGGGTGAACCTCGAACTACTCTCTGGCTCAGAATCCAGCTTAATGCTGAGATTCTCCTTTCTGCACAGACTGATTTTTTTCCTTCGGTAACCTTTGCACCTACCTATTTCTTACAGGTTCTGAGTGCCTGTCCTCTTAAACATTTATTTCCTGGGTTTACCAAGATACCAGCTTCTCACCAGGCCCCATATTCCTAGTTTGTAGAAGTCTCCTGTACTCTCATGCTCCATCTATTTATTCAACATGACACCTGAAATATGTGCCTATGTGGAGTACTGTTCCAGGCACAAGGGAGGAAGCACAACTACGTAAGGTATGAGTGTTGTCCCCTCTCCAAACAGCAGATAATGTTATACCACATGTAACGTGTGATAACGGACTCAAGATGAGGGGGGCAGGTTCTAGCAATCTACAGTTGGTCCTGACACTGACATGGAACTGCTGAGAAAACTGGTTTACTTTTTTAAAGATTTTATTTATTTATTCATGAGAGACACAGAGACGTAATCAGAGATCTACATCATAGACCTCCCTGCTGGGAGCCTGCTGTGGGACTTGATCCCAGGACCCCAGGATTATGACCTGAGCCAAAGGCAGATGTTCAACCACTGACCCACCTAGATGCCCCAAGAAAACTGCTTTATAAAAAAAAAAAAAAAGAAAAGAAAACTGCTTTATAACAAATACCTAAAATTGTTTTATTTTTTTTTAAAGATTTTATTTATTTATTCAGGAGAGACATGCAGAGAGAGGCAGAGACACAGGCAGAGAGAGAAGCAGGTTCCAGGTAGGAAGCCTGATGAGGGACTCGATCCTGGGACTCTAGGGCCGAAGGCAGATGCTTAACTGCTGAGCCACTCAGGCGTCCCAAAATTGTGCTTTTCTTTATTCAGGTTACTTATATAGGATACACATAAATTTCTAGACTTCAACATTTTTATTTAATTGAAGGAGCCTATAAAACTTGAATTATTAAAACTGTAGTTACCACTTCAAGGCATCGCTAGTCCTAAAATTAGTTCTTTTTCCTCTATCCTACAGGTGCTAAAAAAGCAGAACAGAATGCAAGTAAGCTGCTCAAAGGCAAGAAAGAAGGGGAAGCATGAATATACCTTCCCTCTAGGTTTCTCAGTCCAAGTAGCGATTCTCAAGTTTTGGATTGTAGATGCTGTCTATACTCTTTGGGCTTACTCTGGAGTTTGCTTTCGGAACATTCTAGTACATGAGGAAGATTGCCTATGTCTGTTGCCTGAATGCATTCTCTGACTTTAGAATGCTTCCCCAATCCCTGGGTGGCGCAGCGGTTTGGCGCCTGCCTTTGGCCCAGGGCGCGATCCTGGAGACCCGGGATCGAGTCCCACGTCAGGCTCCCGGTGCATGGAGCCTGCTTCTCCCTCTGCCTGTGTCTCTGCCTCTCTCTCTCTCTCTGTGACTATCATAAATAAAAAATTAAAAAAAAAATTAAAAAAAAAAGAATGCTTCCCCAGCACTGAACTGGGTAGAAGTACAGGAGCATTAACACTCTAAGAGGGAAAGGATGTGGTGGGTGGCTACCTTGACTCTTTGGAGGAAAATTCTGGGGGTGTGTTCCAGTTTCTCACTTCACAGCGTGACTGAGCCCACACAGGAACCCCTCATTAATTCATCCTTTGATGGCTTTCTTTCCTGTCATCAGAGTGCCTCTTAGCACCTCCTAAATAAACTATTTGCATCCAAATCCTGGTTTCAGTGCTTGATTTTGGGAGAAACCAAAACTCAGACAAGGACTTCTTTGTAAATGTCTGGAAAACTAAGATCTCCCTCCCTAGGAAAATACGTCATACTTTCAAGAAACGTAGGTAGGATTTGGTGAAATTTTGGTATTAGGACCAGGCTTCCAGAATCACCCTAACTTCTCTCCCTCCTCCCACTCCCCATCCTCCAAAAGATTACTGAGGGAGCCATATACTAGGACCAGCAGCCTAACAGGAATGAAGGTATCATTTTAATAACTTCAAAAGTGCCTCAAACCCCTTTCACCTGTTTTAACTATTCTCTGCATGGCTGGCTTCCTGTTTTCTCATAGAGGGTGTTCTCCAAACTCCTTAAGTATCCTCTAGCACAGTATACAGATGGATCTGATTCATAATGGTCTGACTTACAATTTTTAGACTCTATGATGGTACGAAACTAATACACATTCAGTAAACTTGTACTTCAAATTTTGAATTTGGATCTTTTCCCAGGCCAGTGCTCACAGTATTTTCAATTTATGATGGGTTTGTTGGTACATAACCCCATCATAAGTTGGAGATCTGTACCGGTCTTTTCTACATGATGCTTTATAACATATTTATCTATGTATCTGCTTAGTTGTTTACTGTTTCTCTACCAAATTATAAGCTCCATGAAAACAGGAACTAAGTCACTTTGTTTACCGCTGTACACTCGGTGTTTATGACAGCACTCTCACATGAAAGATACTCCAGAAGTTGAGAAAGAGGTTGAGGTTTGGGCTCCTGGGCTCAAACAGCCACCAATTCCCTGCTATTAAAAACATGGGAGTCTTAACCTCTATCAGGCCACATGAAGAAAGCTCTAAAGACAGGCAACATAAAATGACCACATCTGCAGAGCGTATCCTGGCTCAACTACACCATGAAGCTGTGTGTGTGTGCGTGTGTGTGTGTGCAGAAGGCAGAGAACCCATTAATGAATGTAGAGTGGCCCTCCCTGCCCACCAAGAATGTGGGTCAATTAATACACTAATTTTCACTATTAGGTTAGTAGCTACTTTCCATGGGGGATGAGGTAAGGAGAAAGGTGGCCAAAATCTCTCCCTAGGGCAGCCCGGGTGGCTCAGCGGTTTAGCACCTGCCTTCGGCCCAGGGCCTGAGCCTGGAGTCCCGGGACCAAGTCCCGTGTCGGCGTCGGGCTCCCTGCGTGGAGCCTGCTTCTCCCTCTGCCTCTCTCTCTCTCTCTCTGTCTCATGAATAAGTGAATAAAATCTTTAAAAAGAATAATAATTTCTTAAAAAAAAGAAAAACTCTCCCTGAAGTATATACTATCCTGCATAGAATTTCAAGGGAGTAAAACAAGCAAACAAACAAAAACGTACGCAACTTCTGAGGCCTGTCCATGGTCCCCGCAGGCTAACCATCCCAGGTTAACAATCTACGGATTTTTCTATTGGTACAAACCTTGAGATCTCTACTCTGTACCGTCAGATGTCCAGCTCCTATCTGACATATTTGCTCCTCATCCCTCCTCTCCCTGCAAAACGGAAGGCAAGGTATGGCAGCGAAGGCGTTCGTGGGCATGACCGAAACCAAGTTCTACAGCGAGGCCGGTGTTCTGCTTTCAAACCCCGGAAACGGCCCTTCGGCTGTGACTGGAACGGCCTATCTTCTCAGTCCCCGCCTGCTGGAATCAGGGGACGATTGCAGGGCCTGGCACAAACGCCACCTCTTCCACCAAGCAGGTGGAGACCGGCCTGCTTGGCCGCTCCCAGTTGACCTCGGTTTTGTGGTCGGCCGCCCACCTCCCAGCAGGGCCTCGGCGGAAGGTCCACTGCCGGCCCCAAGGACCTTCAAGACGGAACCGCCTCAGCACCTGGCCCAATTCTTGCTGATGCCTTCTTCCACTTTACCAAGAGGAGTTTCCCCAACCGACCTGAGGGGCCAACCTAAGACATCTCAGGTTCAGTGAGGTCACACATTAGTCAAGACCCTTGCAACGACGCCGAGCCCCATGGACCCAAGCTGCGGCAGGAGAAAAAGCCCAACGTCTCGAGGCTCCGCAAGGCAGGTGCTCACTTGAGCTCTGGACCCAAAGTTGAGAACGGACAAGAACCCCCTCCCTGCGCAACGACGTGACCGAGAGGGCGGCGACAGACGCTGCGGGGAGAGCTTCCGCCCTGAAAACAGCGTCGTCTAGGGGCAAGCTCCCAGCTCCGTTCCGTCCCACAGCTCAAGGCCTTTCATTCCAGCAGGCAGTTAGGCAGTTGTCCACACCCCAAGGCCACCCCACCCAGCTGCGCCGGGCAGCTGCTCCACACCCGGACGAGCCGGTGGCACGTCTCGAGGGTGTGACGGTTACGCCGTGACATCACCCGGCAGAAAAGGGCAAAGCGACCAAGGTACCGGCGATTCTGAAGCGGCCCCCGCGCTGAGAAGCGCGCCGAGAGTCGGGAGGAGGGATTAACTTTGACTGACGTCCACACCCACCCACTGCCTTTCCGATTCCTTCTCAAACAAACCAATCAATGAGACGACGGAGACGGCAACGTGCCCCGGCCGCCAAGGAACGGCTCCGCCCCCTCCGCTCGGTCGTCGTTCGGTCGCCATGATTGGCGTGGCTACTGTCTTGGTCTACTTTAGCTCTCCTCTGGCTTTCCGATACCCTCTCTGAACTTCTCCCTAACCATTTATTCCCTCCCACTGTCAACTTCTACCTCCACGGGATTCTTGCTAGCTCGGTTGCCTGTACAGCCACACTTGAGATGGCGGCCGGAGGCGGGGCCACGGCTGGGCCTGCCCGGCGCGGTGACGTCAGCGCGCTGCGTGTCGGCAGGTGGAGGGAGAAGGGAAAGTTTGGCCCGTGCGTGGGGCTGGGGTTGAGGGCGGGACGGAGGGGTTGGGCCCAGGCGAATACCCTGTAGCTGCTGCAGCGGAGGCCGAGGCCGGGACCTGGGCCGGGCGAGGAGTGCCGGCCGCCGGGGAGCAGTGGGCGAGGTCCGCCGGAGCTTCGAGCCCCCGCCGCTCTGCCGCGCGGTGACCCCGCGCCCAGACGCCGTCCGACCGGTGGCTGTTCCCGAGGCGGTTGGTGGGGGCGCGGCGGCGCGGCGGCGGCGGCGGCGGCGGCGGCGGCGGTTGGGGGTGGGGGAGGCGCGGCGAGGAGACGAGAGAGAGGTCAGCGAGTTTGAGGGAGGATCGCGAGCCGCGCCGCCGTCATGTCCGAGGACTCGAGCGCCCTGCCCTGGTCCATCAACAGGGACGATTACGAGCTGCAGGAGGTGATCGGTGAGAGCTGGCGCCGCCGAGGGAGGCGGGGGGTGGGGGGGGGGGACGCGAGGACCTGCGGGAGCGCGGGGAGGCTCGTGGGCACCCGCGGGGCGGGCGGGAGGCTCCGGGTTTGTGCAGCGCGCCAGTGAGGCTGGTGGGCTGCGGTTGGAGGGGCTGGAGGGGCCCGGGGGAGATCTGGGCAGTGACAGATACTTGAACCGCAGCGATAGACGGGTCTGGGAGGGGAAGAAAAGTGCGGGCACAGGACAGGCCTTTAGGAGGCTGTGCGAGAAAGGGGGCTGTTGGGGTTGTGGGCACAGCTCCCCATTTTGGGGACCGTCTGTAGGGGGCTTTAGTGCATTCCCGCGCGGGTGTGACAACACCTAAGTGCTCACGAAGTGCCAGACGCTGCCGGGGTGGAGCTGGGGGAGCTGGAGCTCCTCTCTAGATGAAGCTGAAGGTACCGGGCTCCGCGCTGCGTAGACACAACCCCCCACCGCTGGAGACTGACTTTCTAGTCAGGGAGGTAGGCATTGAAGAACCAGACAAATAGAAGGAATCGCAAGGTTTGGCAAGTGCTAGGAAGGAAACAAACGAGATGTTCTGATAGCGAGTGACCTGGAGACCTAGTTAGGGTGATTTCAAGGAAAATTCCTTTTCTGAGGCGTTGACCTTTAAGAGGAGCGCGGAAGGATGAGAAGCAGTCTTAGGGTTCCAGGGCAGATTTTTCCCTGCCGAGGGATGAGGAAGTGCAAAGGTCCTGAGGAGGGAAAGCGCTTGATGTGTTTCAGGACCTGGAGGGAAACTGGCAAGGGTAGAAGGGGGATCTTGGCAGGCATGGTAAGGATTTTAGAATTTTGAGTGTATTGGAGGGCTTCAGGCAGAGGCAGCATTATTTGACGGATCCGGCCGCTGTGTGTGGAGTGGTTTTGAGGTCCCGGAATACCAGTTGGCAGGGACCAAAACTTGCACAAATGTGGATTGTAATTCTTAGGCACAGGGATTGGGGGAGGGCGGAGACTTGGGATGAGGGGAGTATTTGTTGGACAACAATAATCCAGTGACTTTAGAAATCAAAAGGGGGGGTGGGCTTAGCTACACAGAAGCTCGGTCTAACTGACATGAGCAGACCCCTCTGTATGGGAGGAAGGAGACTGTCTGCTTTGCTAGATCAGCATCCTGTCCTATAATTAGTTTTATAACAAAGACTGGCTGAAAACTGTGGCTGTCTTAGAGGTGTGTTTATTGCCGTGTGTCTGTATTTTAGGGAAACTTTATCACATCTTTTTTTTTTTCTTTTTTTGCCTCTTGTTTCAAAACAAATCTGGGCTAAGTTTTATCTGAAAGAAATCACATCTTTTTCCTTACGCCACATCATACCCAGTGTCCTTGCTGGGTGTTCGACATACACCGGTTGTTTCTAAAGACAGCTAGCTAGGTCTCTGTCTTGATTGTTTCTCAGTCCCTCAGTCAATATCCTATGAGGAAGAAATTAAGTGAGAGATTTGAAGATGATGTCTGAAAAGTAAAGGAGGAGAATCTCTGTCATTGTTTTAGAAGAGGAATTTTGCCTTCCTTTCTGGTACGGTACACATCTTTCTGTGGTCATCTTTTATGCCTAGTAGTTAAGATGGCTCTAGAGATTTTAGAGATTTATTGGCTCTAGGGTTCTAGAGATTTTAGAGATTTATTAATTTGTTATCCTCAAGCAAGTAGGGTGTCTGTGAGTGGGCAAAAGGGAGTCTCAGCCCTCAGGGATAGGGTTAGTTTTCATCTTAAGGTGGGCCATAGGTAAAAGGTTAAGGACTATAATGTGATTTGACCATATTATTTTTATTTATTTATTTTAAAATATTTCATTTATTTATTTGAGATAGAGCGAGAGACTGAGCACAGGAGCTGAGTGAGGGGCAGAAGGAGGGGGGAGAAGCAGGCTCTTCGCTGAGAAGGGAACCTGACGGTGCACGGAGTTCCATCCCAGGACCCTGGGATCATGACCTGAACTGAAGGCAGATCTTAACTGCCTGAGCCACCCACGTAGCCCTTCACCATCTTATTTTTAAAATTAACTTTACTGAGGTATAATTTAGTGCTATAAAATTCACCCATTTTTAAGTACAAAATTCAGTGTTTTTTAGTAAATTTGCTGTGTCCCAGCCAGCATAATCCAGGTTTAGAATATTTTCATCACCCAGTGATGAAAGATCCTTGTGCTTGTTAACAGTTAAATCGCTGTTCCCACTCCCAATCCCAGGCAACCACAAATCTATAGATTTGCCTTTTCTGGACACTTAATATACATGAGATCATAATAACATATTGTCCTTTGGGGATCCCTGGGTGGCGCAGCGGTTTGGCGCCTGCCTTTGGCCCAGGGCGCGATCCTGGAGACCCTGGATCGAGTCCCACGTCGGGCTCCCAGTGCATGGAGCCTGCTTCTCCCTCTGTCTGTGTCTCTGCCTCTCTCTCTCTGTGTGACTATCATAAATAAATAAAAAAAAAAAATTAAAAAAAAAAAACATATTGTCTTTTGTGTTTGGCTTCTTTCACTTAGCATGATATTTTTTCATTTGTAAAAACAATTTTACTGGGTTATAATTTATATACCACAAAATCACCTGTATTAAGTGTATAATTGTATAATTAAGTGTATAATTTTTTGGTAAATTTACAGAGTTGTTCAGTCATCCCCACAATCCAATTTTAGAACATTTCCATCATTCCAAAAAGATGCCTCATGTCCATTTGCAGTCACTCCCTTTTCCCACCCCCTGCTTCAGGCAACCACAAATCTACTTTCTGTCTCTAGATTTGCCTTTTCTGGATATTTCATGTCAATATAATCATATAATATGTGATCCTTTCATTGGTTTCTTTGACTTGGCATAATATTTTCTGAAGTTCACCAACGTTGTAGCCTATATCAATACATTATTCCTTTTTATTGGACACCACATGATGGACATTGGGTCGTTTTTGCTTTTTGGCTATTTGGAATAATGCTGTTATGAACATTCACTCATCAAATCTTCATGTGAACATGTTTCATTTTCCTTGAGTGGAATTTCTGGGTCACATGGTAAATTTATGTTTAACTTTTTAAGAAATTGACAAGCCTTTTCAAAATCATTTTGCATTCCCACCAGCCATGTATGAGAGTTCCTATTTATCTTTGTCAGCATTTGTTGTCTTTGATTATAGCCATCCTGGTGGGTCTGAAGTGGTATCTGATGGTTCTATTTTGCATTTCTTTAATGACTAATGATGGTGAGCATCTTGTCATGTGCTTATTAATTAGCTTTTCATATATCTCCTTTGGTGAAATATCTATTCAAATGTTTTGCCCATTGGGTTGCCCCTGGGTTGTTTTCTTACTAAGTTAAAGGGTGTGTGTGTGTGTGTGTGTGTGTGTGTGTATGTATGTATGTGTATGTGAATGACGTGTTCGTTTGATGGTCAGTCCTTCACCTGATAGATGATTTCAGATATTTTTATCCTGGTCCCTAGCTTGTCTTTTCATTTTCTTAATGGTGACTTTCAAGGCCAGAAAGTTTTGAATTTTGGTAAAGTTTAATTTATTACTTTTTCCTTTTACTGATTGTGCTTTTTTGATGGCTTAACTAAGAAATCTTTACTAATCCAACATCACAAAGATTTTCTTTCCCGTATTTTCTTCCAAGTGTTAACAGTTTTAGCTCTTAAATTTTGGCCTCCAGTACATTATGAGTTCATTTTTTAATGTATGGCGTGAGATGAGATGAACCATCTTGTTTCACAGATGAAGACACTGAAGCATAAAAAGATAAAATGTCTAAAATCGTAGAGCTAATTAGTGGCACAGCGAATACCTGTGTTCTACTCTCCTGCTGCCTAATTCAGTATCCTTGTTTCTATGTAGGAATTTGATTGGTTTTTATATATTAAATGGACGATAGTGGTCATGGTCTAAGGGAAATTTTGAAGGTTTAAGTGAAATTAATTAGGGGGACTATCCTTACAATGAAGAATCTAATAGATATTTTGAAGGTGACCCTTTTGGATATAGTAGATTTTTCTTTCTTCTTTTATTTATTTTTTATTTTTTTTTAAGATTTTATTTTTTTGAGGGAGAGTGAAAGTGAGAGAGATCGCAGAGGGAGAGGGAGAAGCAGACTCACCGCTGAGCGGAGAGCCCCATGAGGGAGCTCGATTCCAGGACTCTGAGATCATGACCTGAGCTGAAGGCAAATGCTTAACCGACTGAGCCGCCTAGATGCCCCGAATTTTTCTTTTGTGTCTCCTGTTCTGTAAATTTTGAATGTCTCCCTCTCATTTGTAAGTTCACTAAAGTTCCTAACATCCTTCCATTCCACGCCTTGTGTCTTCTCTCACCCATCCTCCCAGGAGGGAGGGGGAAAAATGTTTTTCCTTGAATTATAGCTTATTATAAGTACCCAGCCTCAACAAAGTGGTGTAGACTTATTCTGAATTTGCTTCCATGCTGAAATGTTTGGAATACAATGTGTTCTAGTAAGCTATAATCATCAAAATGAATCTTTGTGATTTTTCAAATTACACTTCATTTTTTCTGAGAATCAAATGATTGGAGCTCAGAAAATAAAGGTTTGGAGGATCATTTGAATTTTCTGTTTTCAAAGAATTGTATTTTAAAGCAGTGATTAATTGATGCCTCCTTTCTGATCAAAGTACTTGCATTTTTTTTGATATGTATTTTTTTTTTTCACCTGCTGCTTAGCCTATAGTATTTGTAAGGTTGAGAAGCCTGGAATGCAGTCTGTTGAGCATCAGACTCTTGGTTCTGGCTGAGGTCTGATCTCAGGGTCCTGGAACGGAGCTCTGCTTCAGACTCTGCACTCAGAGCTGTGTGGGTTTCTCTCTTACCCTTCCTCAAGACCCCCCCCCCCATCCCCGCTCTCTCTCTCGCTCTCTCTTTCTCTAAAATAAATAAAATCCTTAAATATTTGTAGGGTTAGTTGCTTTTCACATTCTATTTTGTTTTCTCTCTTTCTGACAAAATC